GTCCAAAAACATGTTGAGGTTAATTGGTGATTCTAAATTGTCCAGTAGGTGTGAATGTGAGTGTGCTTGGTTGTCTGTCTCTAAGTGTGGCCCTGCGATGGACTGGCGACCTGTCCAGGGTGTCTCCTGCCTTCACCCTGAGTCAACTGGGATAGACTCCAGCCCCCCATGACCCTAGTGAGGATTACGCAATGTATAGATAATTGATGGATGGTCTGATAAAACAATCCGAACTTGAACTCATGCTCCACTTACCAACTTTTTTACTCAGTTTTTTATTATCATAATTTCAACAGACATTTAAAAAGAGGTTTGTAATATAGTACATTATATAAAAGTGTACTTACTTGATCTCACATTACATTCTGTGTGAGATTATCTAAGAAGGCGGTACAGGGGTGGGGCTCACAGAAGGTCAAAGCTGATGAAGACCAGTGTCATATGAAATAAATGCTTCTACTTGTGCCTTTCAGTTCACCAGGAGACTCCAAGGGTGAAACTTTAAATCGTATTCAGCCTGTAACTAACTGCTTGCACGGGGATTTTTCAACTGATGTAACATGATTCACTTCCATTAACCTTGTTAAAACCCGCAGTGCTTTAGTTTAAATTGATTAGATTGGATTTTTTTCTCTCCTCAGAGGTCACAGTAGTCCACTTCTACCGGTGGCTGCTCCGCACCGGTTTCTCTTTGACAAGTCAACAGATTAACTTGCCAGTTTATAAAGTTTGACTGAGTCATATTTTGCATCTGAGAACAATAATTTTTCCCAGCAAGAACTTGTCCCTGCATGATATATGTTGGTGTGGATTTTATGCTCTGCTGCAGAATATTTAGGTTCATTCCATCTCAAATCATTAAATATTTAGTGCAATTTCTTTTTGACGAACACTTAATTTTTTATAGCATAAAATACAGATATTTATAAGGATATCTGTGGAATTTTAGCTTGATATATTAAGCACTTTCTCAGCTAAAAAAAAAACCTACCAATCAACCCATTTTCAGTCCCTTTTTTTCCATATTAAAATTTGATTGTATGTTTGATGACCGTCTCAATCTCAGGAGCTGTCAGTTAAATTTTCACTGTCTCATCGTGTTATTGATTCAGAATCTGCAATATTGTTCAAGTAGATCAAATAATCATTGATAATGAATGAGTTGAAATAGTTTTAATAGTTCCTGAGATATTGTCATCCAAGGATAGCCTCAAATGTTTGGGGAAAAAACATGCTGAAAATCTCGAAAGGTACGTAATATATCAAGCTAAAATCTCACAGATACCATTTTAAATATCCATAATTTGATTTAAAGAAAAGTTTCAAGCAAATCAGAGATGTTGGAGCAGATTCCCCTGATCATTTGAGGTGGTATAACCCAACATGACTCAATAACCTCGTTAAAACCCACGTTGCTTCAGTTTAAATAGATTTGATTCGATTTTTATCTTTCCCCCACAGAGGTTACAGTCGTGCACATCTGCTGGTCGTTGCTCTGCACCAGTTTCTCCATGTCAAGCTGGCTGATAAAATCTTGCAAACTGACAAAACTGTGCTGAATAATGGCCTGATTTACATCTGAGAATGGTGATTTTCCCTGCATGACATTACAGTGCGCTGGTGGGGATTTTTTTGCTCTGCTTCAGATTACGTAATACTTAGATATGTTTTGTTTTTCTGTGCTATACGCTGTGATATGAAAAACGCAGCTTAGCAGATATAGGTGTTACTTACCGACTGTTAAAAGTATTCTTTGGCCAAAACTCAGCAGTCTGGTCCCCTAGTGCAGCCTTCACTATGGTTACCACACTGTCTGTTGTTGTTCAGACTTCTTTCATCAAGACCCCAAGCAGCCAACACTTTACTTGTCCCCACTGTGATGTTCTGACTGGTATGATCATCCGGGAAAAAAAATGGCGTTTGCAAACAGCGACTTTTTCAGTTGCTGGCCCTCATTATTAAAGTGGACGGTGAGATTTATGTGGAACTCCTGCTGGACCGCGAGTCCGTTTTAGCTGCACAATATTCCACTGTCACTGTGACAGCTCCGTCTAGCATTGAAATGGAAACTCGAGAAAAATAGGTGCACGACGGTGTTACATACCACCTCTGGAGCAACTGGATCGTGCTTTTAAACCCGTCTTTGGTAAAAGTGTTAATTGGTATCGTGCCCTTTGCGAGGTGAAAAATGATTGCGTCAGTGATTTCTTTTCTGCTTTTATCATGTGGTGCAACGATGGCAAAGGCGTCTGGAGTAGTTTTTATGCTTTGGTGGGCATTCAGATCTGAGTTTGTGCTTGGTGTTGCTGATTTAAACGGTCAAACTAATTAGCGACGTCGCCGTGTATGGCGGCAACAGAGTGCCTGTTTAGATGATGTTATATCAGGAAGACTTCTCTTGGAGGTCGTGGAAAATGAGAACCGTGGGAGTTTTCTTTTTGTATCAAGCAGCGAAAAAAAAAGGTGTAGCATGATGTGTTCCAGTTAATCTGCCTCATTTTGCATTACACTTCTTGCACTGTTTTTGTTTAACTCATCATACAGTGCCTAAAGTATTCACCCCCCTCCTTGGAGGTTTTCCCATTTTTATTGCTTTTCAGCTTTGAATTATAGTGAATTAGATTTTCTGACACACATTTATTACAAAAGGCTTTCATGTCAAGTAGAAAATGGATCTCTACAAAGTAAAAATGTGGAACATAAAATCACTGATTGCATAAGTATTTACAGCCTTCAAGTCAGCATTTAGTAGCTGCACCTTTAGTTGCAACTACACAATTGAGCCTGTGTTATAATAGGTTCCGATGAGCTCTTGGAGGCTGAAATTGTACCCCGTTCTTTTTCTGCAAAACTGCCCAAGCTCGATCGGGTTGCATGGTGATCGTGAGTCAACAGCTCTTTTCAATTTGAGCCACAAATTCTCAGTTGGATCGAGGTCTAGGCTTGTTATTCAGCCACTCCAGCACATTCGCCTTGTTGTCTTCAGTTCGTTTCTGTGTAGCTTCGGCTGTTTGCTTCGGGTCATTGTCTTGCTGGAAAACAAATCTCACAAAGTCACAGTTCTGTTGCAGACTACATCAGGTTGTCCTCGAGGGTTTCACTATATTTTTCACCCGCTGCCTTTTACAAGCCTTCCAGGTCCTGCCTGAAGTGTCACTACATCATGATGCTGCCACCACCGTGCTTCACTGTGGGGGTGTTGTGTTTGTGATGGTGGGTGTTGTTTGGTGATTAGCAAACATAGCGTGTAGTCTGACGGCAAAGAAGCTACATTTTGATCTCATCAGACCAAAGAACCTCCTTCTCGTTGAGTTCAGAGTCTCCCACGTGCCTCCGTGAGTCGAGATTTACCATGAACTTTTTTTCAACAGTCGCTTTCTGTTTGCCACTCTGCTTTAAAGCTTTGACTGGTGTTGTACGAACAGTCTGTCACATCCCAGCAGCTGAAGCTTGTAACTCCTTCAGAGTAGTCATAGGTGTCTTGTTGGCCTCCCTCACTCGTCTCTCTCTTGTTTGGTCACTCAGTTCTTGAGGACGTCCCGCTTTTGGCAGATTTACACGAGTAATATTCCTTCCATTTCCCAATGATGGCTTTAACTGTACTCCAGGAAACATTTCAGTGACTTCATTTTCTCGTACCCATCCCTTGGCTTGTGCTTTCCAATAACCTTATTACAGAGTTGCTTGGGGTGCTTTTTTTTGTCTTCATGGTGTGGTTATATCCAGTAGTCTTGATTCACCAAGTGTCCTTATGCTACAATCACTGAGACACATTCACTGCACTCGGATGATCTCCATTTCACTAATTGTGTTGGAGCTAATTCCCTGCACCTGTGCTGAATTAGGTGAGTCACTCTGAAAGGGGTGAACACTTATGCAATCATGTATTTTACATTTTGCATTTTTTTTTACTTTGTAGAAATCTGTTTTCACTTTGACATAAAAGTCTTTTCGTAAGTTGTCGTCCAAAAAGGCAAATTGAATTGATTCATGCGTAGTTCTCACTCTGTGGAAGTGGTCAAAATGCTGCGTTGGTAGAACATCCAAACTATTCGACTCACAGGCACAGAAGTCTGAGAAAACACAAACTTTGAGAGAACAGACAAATCTTCACTCTTGTTTTCTGCTGTGCACGGCTTTTTGTGTTACCAGAATCCTATCAGGTGGAATTTAGAAATGCTGCTCTGCAGTTCTCCATCCTCCCCGGCTGCTAAGCAAAGCTAAACTAAGCTAAGCTAAACTAGCTATGCACAAACACCTTTCTCTCTCTCTCTCTTTTTTTTTTTTGCCTCCCAGGGGCACGAGAGAAATCACCGTGGCCAAATTAATTTTCTCCCCTCTGCTTGTGCTGCTGCAACCTGAGGGATCATTGAGGCAGAGAATCAGCCAAAGAGAGGAGAGATGGTGCTGGAGGAGAGAAGGAAATGGGAGCAGTGGAATTTTAATGTGGCTGTGTCTTGTCTCTCGCCGCCTGCCAAAGAAAAGCAATTACTATCACAGCTCCTCTCACTGCTGTGTGTGAGTGTGCGCTTACCTGTTAGTGTGCGTTTGACTACGCTTCAGCACACAGGGATTTGGTATGTTAAATGTACAAAGGATAGATTGGCTGGTACACTGCAGGGTATTTGGGAACGCTGCTACATTAGATGTCTGTTTCTGTTAAAGCAGTTAAAGCAGTGCTTAGATACCATGAAGGCTCCTCTCTAAAACACAAATGTCAATGTTCGCCGTGCTCGCAAAGGTGCCCTCATAGATTCGCTGCTTTTCTTCTGGAGTGATAAAGGACAGAGACTCAACATTTTGCTCTCCGAGTGTGGAGAGGCTGCGATAAAGCGCAGACAGATAAGAGTCGAGAGTTAGAACGACAGCGGTGGATGGATGGACGGATGGAAAAGGGGTGAATGATGAGAGGAGTGATAGAAAGTCGGGGAGAGATACGAGAAGGAATGCAGAGTTATTGTGTCGGCTTTAATAATTCGATCCTTCTGACTTCTTTTTAGGATGCGGAGGTTTGCCTACTGTAAGGTGGTTCTGGCCACCTCTCTGGTCTGGGTGATGCTGGACATGTTCATCCTGCTCTACTTCAGCGAGTGCAACAAGTGCGACGACAAGAAGGAGAGAGGACTGCCAGGGAGATACGGTGGGTGTAAGTTAGCTAGCATTCGCATTTACCTCATTCTTTTTTCCGTACTTGTCCTCTCTGACAAACTGTTTGGCTATCTACCTTAGACGCCCTGTCCAGACCGCGAGACGGTCCCGGTGAAGGCGGGAAGCCTGTGGTGATCCCTAAAGAGAACCAGGAGAAGATGAAGGAGATGTTTAAGATCAACCAGTTCAACCTCATGGCCTCGGAGATGATCGCGCTCAATCGCTCACTGCCCGACGTCCGCCTGGAAGGGTGAGCTGCCTCCCGGCGACTAATCATCCATCCCGTCACTTTCTCTCACCGCACTCGTGACATTCTGCTTAAAATAGCTGTCAGGTGGCATCCTTTGTTCGGATAGTCCTCATGGGTGATTTATTATAAACCGTAAGCCAGATGTCTCAGCTGGGACCTGCACAATCAGTCACACAGGGAGCCACTGCTGTTCAGTAAAGGTTAGTTATGAATAATGACGTGGAGGGGGAGAGATGTATGGATACATAAGTCAGGGAGGAGAGGATAACCTCAACAGCAGCAATCTGAATTACCAGAGGTTACTAAATCAGCCTTCATATATCAGTCTTGTTAAAAATTGAGGCAACACCTTTAATTTAAGGAAAATGGACAAAAAACGAAAAATCAGTCCCATGAAAGATAGTAAACTGTCCATTTGGCACTCTGATGACTTATTAGATTAATAACGACAACCAAAATTATCATAATATTGGCTAAAGTTGTAGAATTTTTGAGTTCTAAATTGAAAACTTTGGCAGCATTCACTTTCATGCAACATTGAATGGACATAATAGCATATATTATGATATTGACATTGGTTTTTAGTAATCAAGGAGACCGATAGCGGATATTTGGAATGGATTTGCAGCAAAATTTAAAATCTTGGTGTCAAAATTTAGGGAAACATAAGCTGCAACTCAGAACTTTGATCAAATAGTTTTATTTAAGCGAGCAGGTTTCAAGATAGTTAGTTAGATAGATGCATGTGTGTGATCTGTGTAGTACAAAGGTGCAAGATCAGAAAGAATAAATGTTAGTTTGCATACAAGCCCTGCGTTTGTATGCAGCAATAACATGATTGTAGCTATGCGGTGGAGCAGATGACTCAATAACTTAACCATGACGATAGATCACAACAGTCAACGCTGCAAATCGAATCAGCGCATGTGCATTTAACGATGTCAGGCAGCCGTATGTCTAGCTGCGCACACCCAGCTACGACAGTCCATGAAAGGGAAAACCCTCCTTGATGTTCAGCCTTGTTAGCCAGCGGTTGTGGTTGTTTGGGAGACGGACAGGGAAGAATTGCGGCTCCGGCGTTGAAAGTATTCTTTGCTGATGCTAGAGGCGGGAGAACACTGGTTGCTTTTTTGTTTTTCTTGCAGAACGGGGTTAAAGAGTCGGGCTGTGGTGCAGTCAAGTATAAATCTGAGTTCAAAATCTAAATGTGAGGGATAACTCCTTAAATAGTGCTCATTTTTGACAGTTGGGTCAATATTTGTGCATCCCATCTGAACAGAGGTGCTCTTTCAGGATGCAATTTAACATGATTTTTTTTTTTTTTGCAGCAACTTACTTTTTTAATGTTGAATACGATCTTTTAAAACAAATGAACCCAAATTTTCAGGTTCAGTTTGTTGATTGTCTGTTTGCACCTTGTATCTTAAAAGCTCTGCAACTTGCTTTGTTGCTCCTTTTGCTGGTAGAATTAGCTTGCTTTGTGCCGTAGCTGCTGGTGCTAACTAAACATGCTTAGCGGCACGTACCTGGTTAATAAACAAGGATGAAACCTTGATTGTACACTGGTGTGGATGCCTACACGGACAGCTGTTGACGCTTAGGTGTTGTTATTATACTACTGTTTTTGGAGTCCAGTTGGAGGACTTCATTCCATACATGCACAATAAGTTGCATCTACATATGTCTACAGACAAACTACCGCTGAACATGTGTACCACTGCCCTTATAGTGGACACAAGTTTTGGGCTGCACGGAAAGGTCTGTGCAGACTTGGAGAGTTGACAAAACTTACAACATGTGGAAAGTATAACGGTGACCTAAGATGTGGGAACTGGAGGAGTATGAGTGAGACAAGACGGTAAAATAATAGAGCTGTGGTTTGGTTGAAGTGGTCCAAGTGATCAGAAAGTGGCACAAGGAGCTGGGTCACCGTAGAAATCAGTGCAAATCACATAAATGATAGAATTATCCTGTGTAGCTCCCTGTGGTGCCTACATTACATTTTAGACTTGTATCGATTTTTAAGTGTCTTATTACTGGCATACAAGATAAAGTAGAATCAGGAAACATCTAGATGGAGATAAAGGCTAGTGATGTAGGAAACGGCATGTCTTTAAAATATATGTAAGATGAACGCACATCAGAGTATTCTTCTAAAAGCTATTAAACTGTAATGCTCAGACAGTGGAACAGACGGGGTGTGGTGGCCTGAAAGATCTCGTGGGAACCTGGACTTCCTGAGCGTTCAGCAGGACCCAGTTCGGTATTGATGTAAAAAACTCTTCAGCAGTTAGTATGCAAATACATCTTAAGGCTTCCAACAGAAAACACTCAACACATGTACGGAAACACGTCTGTCAAGCTGCAGTTTCAAAATGCCACAGCCAATTAAATTTTACACCGAGACAGCACAATGTTTTCCAAAGATTTAATAATAGTTTTTTTTTGTATTCTGGGTGTCGACAATGCTGTTTCCTCCACAATTCATTATAATTTTTTCCAGCTGCAAGCAGCTCCTGTATTTCTGTTTTGTGATGCATTTCAGAATATTAATGTCTGCGGTCAACACACTCAGAAAAGTGTTTTTTGTAGTGTTTGTACATCGGTTGAGACAAACCTGTGCAAACCGTTGGTCTAATGAACCCTGATGAGGACCGAACAACCGGACAGAGACCACCTGAAAACAAGGCTGTGATTTTAAAGCTATTGTTGAATCCATCTGATAATTATGAACTGTTAAGGAAGCAATCTTCCTCAGAACATGACCGCAGGGGTTTTTCACTGATTAATCTGGATCAAAAAGCAGTAAACCTGTGGTGTGTTTATTAAATCCATTATAAAAGGCCTGACGTAGCGATGCTAACTTTAATCACAATTCTGCTCGACTCTTTTGATTACCCCGTTTGCACTTATTGTCTGTTTTTACAGCATGACAGCATTGATTCAGAGGCTAAGAATACTGACTAGACTCGT